CTCTTATCTGAAGTAGATCAAGCAAGACTACATATTACTAAAGATAGACAAAATAAGATAGCCTTAATCAATAACAAACCTATTAGCTACCAAGAAATAGGATCTGACACAGGTTATAGGTGTAACAACCTAGCTCGTGATGGACCTGCTCACTTAACCTTGAGAAACCAACCCCTCTTATATTTATCTAAATACCTCTCCAAACGAGACACCCCCTTAAAAGTGAGAAAAAACATTGCGATGGCGCCCAACGTGTTTGGTAATCAAAGAATCCATACACCCGTTAACCAAGCTAATATAATTGATGGCACACCAACTAATGAACAAAGGTTACCTACACTTCACTTAATGACCAATAATAAGGCTAAGCAAAATGACAAACAATCGAAAAATGCAGAAGAAAAAATGAAATAGACTGATATTGAATATCAGAAATCCAAAAATATCAAAATACTTAAAGAATTAATACCATATTCTTTAAAGGAACAAGAAATACTCCTTAAAAAACAAGTTGAAAGAAACCAATAAAGAAATAAATTAATAGATGTTACATGCAATGGAAATTGGGTAGATATAGTCAGAACAGCTCTAGCAACAGACTCCAACTTATTACAAATATTCTTAGAATATAAAGAACCTAAAGGTACATACAAAAATGAACAGATGAAAAAATACATGATGGTACAAAATGGTGAACCAAATTATCAAGAAGATGATAATATCATACAAGGAAATAGAAAAATTGGGCTAAAAATGATATTACATACATCAATGGGAATATACCTTAATGATCCATTATGGAATAATGGAAAAAGGCATTGGAAAATAAATAGAATACTAGAAGAAATATATCGCACTGATAAAATAGGAATAAAATGGGTCGTAATACATATTGGAACAGCTGCAGATAAAAATCGGTCAGACATGATCGACAATATCAATGAAATACTAAAAGAACTAGTTCAACAACAATTAGAAATAGGTATATTATTAAAAAACTTAGCAAGCAATAATTGCTATGGTGCAACAATACCAGACCTTATGGATATAGTGAATAGTATAGATCAACAGTTAAGGTTTAAAAACAAAGAAAAATCCAAGAAAAGGATTGGAATATGCTTCGACACCCAACATTACTACGTGGCGGGTGGAGGCAAGAGAATCAATGAATATCGAAATATATACAATAAGTATGGTCATGAAATAATAGTAACACATGTGAACAATAGTCCACCAGAAGTGATATTCGGTAAAGGAATGGACAAGCATGCGCATATAATGGATCCAGCAGCAAAAATACCTATAGAAGTCTATCAGATGATAGCAGGGCATAAAGAGGTCTATGCCAT